GTACTACCAGTATCAGTAGTAGTGGCATTAACATCACACTGATACTTGTTGATCAGTTCCTGTAGACAATGTAGCTTACCTCCATAAGCAGCTAAATGAGCTAGTGTGTACTTGTTATTGTTAGTGTGATTAGTAATATCCACACTATACTCCTGACTGTACCATTCAAGTATATGAGTATGACCATAGCCTGCTGCTCTGTGTAATGTTGTGAAACCAGCTAAATCAGTAGCTAAAGGCTCAAGCTTATACTGTTGTATTAGTAATTGTACTAGATCAAGATTACCTGAGAAACTGGCAAATAATACACATGTACTGTCATCTGTATCCTTAGCATTGACATCACATTTCATATCATTTATTAGAAATGTGACCAATTGAATATTACCACTCTCACAGGCTAAATGCAATGGTATCCTACCCTCATTGTCAGTAGAGTGTAGTAAACTAATGTATTGAGGATACTGACTGGTGATATGTTTGATAAAGTGAGTGTGACCTTCTAATGATGAAAAATGAGTAACATTCTGACCTTTGTTATCTGTTAGGCTCAGACTACACTTGCAATCCTTCATGTATAATTCCAGTAGTAAAATATCACCAGATACAGCAGCATAATGAATTAATAGCTTACCATTACTGTCAGCTTGATGAGGATCTAACTGATAGGTAGTTATTAATTCTTTAACAAGAGATAAGTTAAGAGACATTGAGGCATAATGTAAAGCAGTGAGGCCATCCTTATCAACTGCAGTAGGAGACAAACCTTGTTCAGTAATAAGATACTGAACTAAATCAAAGTTACCACTCCATGCAGCATGATGTACTAACGTGCGTCCTTCATTATCTGTTTTATTAATATTGCAATGCTGTACCTCAATGAGATATTGAGTGATATCAATATGACCATTACGACAAGAACGATGAAGACATGTCATACCATCATTATCAGTGATACTAGGATCACTGTTATGATTATTAATAAGATATTTAACAGAATTAATACTACCTGACCAGCAGGAATAGACTAATGGTGTACGACCATCAGTATCAGTATCATTAGCATTGAGATTATACTGAGATATGATATAACTTAATACACTAGTAGAACCTGACAAGGCAGCATAATGTACT